ACATCCCGATGCGGGCAGTCCGTCGCCTCGCACCCACACAAAGTTGTCACCCCGCTTAGTCCGAGCATGCAAGCCAGGTTCGCCCGTGCGCCACAGTCTGTCGCGGTCCCCTGGGCATGTCAACCCCGCATGCCCAGCACCAGCCCATCGGATCGCCCAACTCTCTACTCACCTTCCAACTCTTGCTCGTTAGTCGATCCTCTTCACCACGCGAACTCCAAAATTCTTAGAGAGCGAGTTACTCGCGCTTGCGAAACTTATAGCATGCATGTGTGCGCGCGATACCCGGGGTTGTGTCTGACTGGGAAGGAAGGAGAAGGAAGGAAGTGCCTACAACTGCATGGCCAGGCCGCGGTGTGGGGGACGTAGCCTCACTCCACACATCGATCCGGTTATACAAGTGTTCAGGCCAATAGAATAGAGGGAGATGTACGCGCGCGCAGGGGCGCCACAAAGGATATCAAGAACGAGGGGATTGCGGTTGCAATCATGCCCGCCAAAACAAAAATTACAGTTACATGCAAAATTAAGGCGGGGAGAAGTCAAAGTGCAGATCTTGTCGTGGCAAGGCGTGCGCAAGCAAGAAGCGCTGTGCAACCGAAATTGAGATGTGCCAAAATTCCTAATCTAAATCCTAATTGCAAAAAGAAACTCCGAGTAAAGCAAATTTTGAGAGCCCATGGGGGCTCGACTTAAGTTGAAAATTCAAAAAGATTTTTCCGCGCCACGATCACGCCAAATTCTCATTTCCCACAACAGAACCATAAAAAATTTATGACAACAATTATCTTTCTCGCTCGCCAAGGCGCGATTATGTACTAACCTACTAACCGTCATAGGATTACCCCGACCTCGATTCCGAAAAACAAGAAAAGCAAGGGCACCCATGCAATCCAGCGGACCTTCCCGATTTAATCACCGAAGTGGCCTTGCGCAAAAAAACGCGCGGTTGCAGAAAACAGTTTGTCACATATACGACGCCCAGGGGGTTCCAATCTTGAGCAAGCTCCTGCTTGCTTTCCCAATCATCCGTCGATCTCGTAAGAAAACACCAGCGATTGTCGTGGAGCTGACACGTGCCACTTACCGTGAGGTAAGAGTGTGAAAGTCATCCAGGTGGCACTCGCGAACTCCGATCCTAGAGATTGTTGGGGAAGGGTAGCGTTATGACAGGCGGGGGAAGAGGAGGGTGAACTTGTGGGAGGGATGGCAGAAAGGGATGGAGTTTCCGATCTCCAGCGGGGAGTCGGATGTAGTAGACGTTGCGATGGATGCGAGGGAAACGATGATCTTAGTGTGGGAGCGAGGCGAGGTAATCAGGATAAAGGGTACAAAGGGTGCGGGGAATCGCGACGAGAAAATTCTCATATTCTTCGCACGTGGGGATGGTACCCCCGATTATGCAATAAACCTCTATATTATTACATTCATGCCATGTCGCGCTAAAGAGAAGGATGTGGAGGGGAAAATAAGTTACGAGAGAGCGAGTGGCGGCGTGTGGGAAGATGGAGGCGATGAGGCGGGTTGAGTAGAGTTAGTGGAACAGGGAAGGTGGGAAAGGATCCCAGTTGGAAGGGAACGGGGGTCGGCCCGCAAGCTGATGAAGGGTAAGGTAATCAAGGGGACGACAGGATAACGACCGGGGACGAAGCCCGAGCGGTCGCATCTCCACGTATGTGAACGGTGGGCCGTGGTGGTAGAGAGGATTGAGTCGGCAAAGAATTTCTTCTACGGCATCAGTTTATGGATCCCTCCGCGGTGGTGACGCCATGTCCTCTGAGCTCCTCCTGCGGCGACTCTGGATTGCGCGCGGGATCGCCTTGTGGTAGCCGCGCTGCTGGTCCATCCGATTCTTCCACCGCCCGCTTTCCCTCCGCCCTCTTTCGCCTCTTCTGCGCTGCAGCCTCGTCCTCTTCCTTGTCCTGTTCGCTGGGGTTGTCTGATTCGTCTAACCCACTCTCCTCCGACTCGTTATAATCAGGGTTGTCGGATTCCACCTCCGAGTTTTCTTCTTCTTCTTCTTGGCTCGCCTCTTCTCTCTCTTCCTTCACCTCTTCTTCATTTTCTTCTTCTCGTATCTCCACCCTTCGAACAATCGGATCCCACAAGGTGAGATTGGGCACGTCAATGACCAAATAGTGGCCCGAGGAGTTGCCGCCGTTGAACTTCATACACGTGGACCACAACAGATATGGTACCAACATACGAGTGAGCACTGCCGGTGTGGGCCGCTCGTCACAACGCGAAAGGATGTTTAGAGGCAGATTGTCTAGGAGCTGCGCCAAGAACACCAGGACTTCACTCGTGATGGGTTCCAGATGGTCGTCCCTCACCTTCCCGAACAGAATCCCGAACAGCTCCACCTACTTATCTGTTCTCCACGCTTGGTCTATCAACAACTCCACGTCATCATGGGGGACTTCGTCTTCTTCGTCCTTGTTGGCGGACTGGGCCCAATGGAACACCATCTCGAGGAGACAAAAACTGAGCGCGACGTACTCGTTCCACCACTCCATCCACTTTCCAGCATCAAGGATCGGCACGTCCAGCTGCCGGATCCGAAAGGATAGAGGGATGTCAGTAGCGGACTGCCAGAAGGTAGGGAGATTGGAGGCAAGCCCAAAAGTCGAGAGGTGATGTCGGTTCATTGGGACAACGCAAAGGGAAGGAGCTCCGGGATGAAGACCTCGCACACAGTGGGAGAAAGTCTGAGCTGGCTGAGATCGATGTCATTGGTGGAGTCGATCTGATCGCCTGATTGAGCCAACAGCTGAACCCACGCGGCCGTGAGATCCCGTGCTCAATGTCGCAACTGTCGGAGGACTCCTATGTGGGACAATTGATGCACTGTCGTAAGATCGTCAGTGAAGGCGATAATTACTGACACGTGGCTGACGCTTGGTGGAGACAGCTGCACAAAAGTCGACACCTCGACCAACACCCGCGTGTCGCCACGTGGATGGCCGCCATGCTGAAGAACGCCGCAAATCGAAGCTGATTGGGACTCAATCGTGGTCGTTGCACTTGCCGGATTGATGGAACATACCCCCCAGGTCTCATTAGACGCTCGCTAATGACCTGTTCTGTAGAAAAGCTCATGGCGATGGGGGAAAAGGTGGAGACGAAGGTTGAGAAGAAGGAGAATCAGTGTATTCGAGTTTGAGATCGTCGTCTTCCTCCTCGGAATCGAGGGACGACATAGACGATGGGAGAGAAGGAGAAGGAGGTAAGGGACGAAGATAGGACACGTGTCGAATGATCGGTCGAGCCGATCGGCTTCCTGAGACCTCCGGTGCAAGCCGCACCGTATTCACTCTGCTAGGACCAAGCTCGACTACACGGAATCACCCGAAGAATCGTGGCGCTAACTTGCCCAGGCGAGCACATTTCCTTACCTGTACGATGTCCCCTAATTTATACTGGGGCCGAGGTCCAGCGTTCCCGTTTTGGGCCTCATAGCTCCGGACCTGCCATCTGTGGGCCATTCCGGTCATCCGCTGTCCTTTTCGGGGCAGCCGGGGGAGGGTCTTTTCCATCAATTCTAAGTGGCATTGGACCTTGTCCTTGAACGTCGCCCTTGTGGCTCGTCGCACAAGGGTTGTCTCGTCGTTCAGGCTTGGCAGAGCTATGCAAGTCAAACTATTGGTCCGTAACTGAAAAGGGGTCAGGCCGGTGGACTCATGGGGTGTCCATCAGTGGATAGCTAGGATGTGGTCTACGATATCAGGCCAAGGCCTCGTGTCTTTAACCGCGATATTTCACCACAAAGTTGTCTTTCTAATCACCCGGTTCACATTCTCTACTAATCCGTTTGACTGTGACGTATGGGGAGCCATATTGTGAATGGAGACACCATGTACGACTAGGCTCCTCAAGACTTCTCCTCATAATTCTGCCCCGTTGTCCGTTAGGATTTCCTCGGTGTCTTGATACATTCCGAGGAAACGGTTGACATACTACACAATCTCCGTCGTCTGGCGCGTTTTGCATGGGTAGGCCTGATCCATTTCGAGAAATGATCCACGGATACTAGAAGAACTAAATATTCGCAACTATTCGGTTCAGGGGGTGCGACAATATCTGTCGTATCCATGCTAACCCTTTGGAATGGTCGTTCGACTACAGTGGGCACTATCGACCTAGGCAGTTGAACCGGCGCCTTATCTGCCGCACAGACTAGACAATTTTTAACAATGAATTTAACACCGTCTCAACTGTTGGACCAATACCATTCATTTTTGTGGATTGCTTACTCCGTGATCCTGACAGCAAAGTGGGCGACGGTTTCCTCGTGTGTTGACTTAACCCAGTCGTACCTCATGAACGGATTGGGCACCGACATCCAAATCCCACTTAGTCTACCGTCAGTCTTTTGTTTCTCTAATCGGTTGCCGTTCCATCGGTAATCCCGTGCCCTCTCGTTGGCCCACCTCCGATCTTCCTTGGTGAATTCTCGGAGGTAGTTCCCGACTACTGCAACTATTAGGACGATATATGTCCATACCTCGGCATGCCGAAACCGGCGTGTCTTTGCCAACCCTTCAGACGTGGCTTTGAGGAATCGAGCCTCCGTCGGGATTTTGTCGGTTCAACACAAAGGACATAACCAGGCTTTATCCGCATTCCTGTATTGGACACAAGAGTAGTGGGCCCGAGAGACACACCGTTCACAGTCTACCTACTCGACATACCCTTCCCAACTAGGACGCATAGGAACCGAATAAACTCTTGATATTGCTTCACAAAAATAACAAAATTTGACAGGCAAGGAGAGAAAAGAAGAAGATGAGAGGGGAGAAAGGAGGCCTCTAGAATTACCTTCTCCACCCATTGCCATCGTGTCCACATATCACTTCCTGGAGGTTCGGGGGAGAATGGCCACTTCTCCTTACGATGGTCCCTTTATCGGCTCCGACTCCTTCCACAGAGTAATCTCTTCATCTTTGGCCACCTTGCTTGGTCGATATAGTCATGTCGCGTTCCCGTGCTTCTCTGTTTTCCAATGGATGATGTCGAAGTCATATTCCGGTAGCCGAACAACCCATCGTCCAATCATGCCCATATAGTTAGTGAGCCTCTTGAGAGCCAACAGAGGCTCATGATCCCTGGCGAGGAGAAACTTTTGTCCGTATAGATACGGATGAAAGTGTTGAATTACCCGAACGACTGTGTAGCATTCTCCCTGAGGGGCCAAATCGTTTCTTCGCTCGACGGGTACAGTTCGTGAGCCGTACTCGATGACGTGTTCGCGGCCGACCTTCCCTTTCTGGGCCAAAATAGCGGAGATCGCATTGGGCTGCCAGTTCGTGATGAGGATGAATTGCTTCTCAGGATCGGGCCGAATCAAAATAGGCGCGGAGGCTAGGGCCTCCTTCAAGGTCACAAAGGCCTGTTCGCACTCCTCGTCCCACTTCAGCGGCTAGTCCTTCCGTAGAAGGTTTGTAAGAGGCTAAGCGATTGCCGCAAACCCTTTGATAAATCGCCGGTAATACGAGGCCAACCACAGAAAGGCTCGAACCTGCGTCAGTGACGTAGGCGTGGGAGCTTCTCGAACCGCCTTGACTTTTATCGAATCTTGCCTCAAACCCCCTCGGGTCACCACGTAGCCCGGGAATGAGATCTTTGAAAGGAAGAACTCAATTTTTTCCAGTGCGATATTGAACCCAACATCCCGCAATGCCCCTAGCGTCCATTCGATGTGCTGAGCGTGTCCATGAAATGATTCAGAATACACCGAGATATCGTTCATGTACACAATGACGCAAAATTGATCATTCCCTGGGTCAGTCTGGTCTTGTTGACGAAGTTATGAAATGTGACGTTCATTGCTCTCTGAAAGTCGCCGGTGCATTGCATATTCCCATAGGGCAACGAATCCACTTCCAAGTGCCTTCGAACAATACGAACGTCATTTTCGACCGATCCTCCTCCTTAACCAGGATATGATAAAACCCGTGGCGAAGATTAAACTTACTGAAATAATTAGCACATCCAATCGCATCCAACAAATCATCAATCCGAGGAAGGGGGTACACATCTTTAATTGTGATGTCATTCAATTTCCTATAATTGATGCATATGCGAATCGACTCGTTTTTCTTCAGAACTAGAACTACGGGGAATGACCATGGTCCGGTAGTTGACTCAATCCAACTGTTAGCGTCAAATTCTCTGATTTGTCCTCCGTTTGGTGAGGGAGTATCGGTATGGTTTGCAGTGGATTGGTGGGTGCGTTCCGGTTTGGATTTCATGCTAAATAACTAACGACAATCCGATATTCGTGTCCTTGATGCTAATCGCCCCTTGATATTCGGTCAGGATGTCCGTAATCAGTCGGTGAGTTTCATCGGGCACGTACTAGGGCACATGTAGTTCATAAAGTTGTACGTGTATGCTAACCATCACTTGTTTTCTGCCTACCTTACTACCATTCCCAGGTAGGGGAGCTGGAAGAGTTGTCTGCTCGTTGGCAGAACACCGTAGCAACCATTTGGGCATCTTCCTCCCGGATTGCCATGTGTTCTTTCGGTGTTACCCCATCGTCAATGTCCTGCACGCTTACGGGTTTCTCGACGATCTTGATCCTAAGTTTGTAAAGGTTGTTGCGCCCAGGGGGTTCCAAAGTCTCGCCGCCAGCGCCCTGTCGCAGCAACTGGACCTCCTTCCCTGTAGAGAGCAAGGAGCGAGGTAATTCCGTAATATCGCAGAATGCTTTCTTGTCACTGTATCTTGAGAGAAGCGGGGTGGTGACCTCGTATAGGGTCCGAGGGGGTTCCAAAGAATCGACCATTCGGGATACTTGCACTAGAGGTTCTCCTAGGATTGGAGCCCACGTCCGCTGGAGGTTTCTTTCCATAAGGACGAAGGTTTTTGTTGCTTTCTGCCAGACTGGGTAGCGAATAATTTGACGCGCCATGTCCCAGATTTCTGGGTCCGCTTCGACCTCGTTGTCAAAGGAGCTGTTTGACAGCTCCTATGCTTTCCCCTTTGGTCTGTTTCTCTGAGGGGTTCCCTCTAGGTGATCACATGGAGTGATTCTTCGTTCCCGGGGAGAGTTTTTCGGGTCGTAGGGATCGTAGTCCAGAGAGTTAAACGCATCGAGATGACGTACGGTTTCCCACCCGTATTCCGAAAGATGATTGACTGCCTCTCGAAATCTAGATTGACTCTTAGTGCGGTGAGGGCCGGTAATCCCAAAAGGACATCGTACGTGTTTACGTCTAATACCACGACATCCCCCAACGCGTGAACTTTTCCTAATCGAAACGCAACATTCGTCATCCTTTCCACCACCTTGATCTTTTCCTCGTTAGCGGAGACAAG